TCTAATAAACGTGAAAAGTGTTCAGTTTCACCAAGTAATCTGAGATGCTAATTAATATAGTAATAACATATCTTTCTTTTGCCAAACAAAATTAGAGAGCTCTCATTCATCGTTGGTGTGTCTGATATAAGCTTACTTGAAATATATTTGGCTGTATTTATCAAAAGCCTTAGCATGTTCCGACCCCTGGACTAAGTAATTTCACTGGTGGCGCAGTGGTTAAGAATCCGCCTGCCAATGCAGGGATCGTGGGTTCGATCCCTGATCTGGGAAGATCCCACGTGCCGCGGAGCAACTAAGCCCGTGCGCCACAACTACTGAGCCCGCGAGCCACAACTACTGAAGCCCACGCATCTAGAGAGCCCGTGCTCCGCAAGTAAGAGAAGCCACCGCAATGAGAAGCCTGCGCACTGCAACGAAGAGTAGCCCCCGCTCGCCGCAACTAGAGAAAAGCCCGTGCGCAGCAACAAAGACCCAACGCAGCCAAAAATAAAAATAAAAAAAATGAAAAAAAAGGGCTGCTATCCTAAGGAAGCAGTCTGAAATACACGTAAAGTTCTATATTCAAATTGTTCATCGCTAAAAACCAGTAGTGATCTTAATGCTCTAGAATGGGGGGTAAGGGTTAAACAAAGTATGCCTCAGTCATATGGTAGATGATGCTGTAACCAGTACGTGGGATGTTTCTGCAGAATTTTTAAAACCATGAAGAAATGCTTACATATTGGATGTTAATTGAAAAAAGCAAAATGCAAACATATGTAGACTCTTTCCAATTAGAATGTTACAAGGAACTGTATACCCACATGCAAGGAAAAGGGCTCCGAGGAGATAAACCAAAATGTTAACGGTGGTTATCTCCTGATGGTGGGATTATGAGCGATTTTTTTTAAGAGTTTTTTTTTGTGTGTGTGTTTATTCCTGTAAGCATGCGTGGTTCACTGAAATAAAACAATAACAGCAAGAAAACCACATACTTTATTTGAGAGTAAGAAGAGGAGGAGGTAAATAGAGCACCGTGAACTGGGGAATGGGGTGATGTCAGTGGAGACACATAGCCAGGGAGCTGAGTCAGCAGGTTGTGTAGCTGGTCCCCAGGGCTGGAGCCCGGGAGTAGTGCATGTTGTAGATGCAGGTAAGTCACAACTGGAAGCCCAGGAATAGATCTGAGTCCGGATTGGAAAGGCCCTACTTCTCTGTGGAGGCAAAGGGTGGTCTGTGTTATAACCTCCAGGGCCTGGGAAGAGAGACCACCAGGCAGCCCCTGGAAGGTTGGTGCCCGTCCTCACCTGACTTGGGGTGTAATAAAAGCCATACTTGTGATGTGTCTTGACTGTGTAAAACCTGCACCCCGAGATTCTCTGACCTGTAGGAACAGTACCTGTGCTATTCAACTGAAGTATCATGGACCAGGTAGGGAGGTAACATTGCAGAGAAAAAGTGCGCAGACCAGGCATGTGAAGCCCCATTGCTGAGGGGAAAATCACTCCTCTTTGCGATGGTAGCAGTGAGTGAACCTGGGCAGGTCACACCAGAGGGTGGCTGGGCAGCCCCCTGCCTGGGTGTGCCTTTGCGGGTTACCTGGTCACTCTTTGTGCCTGTGTTCCCCACAGCCGCCCTGGGACCCATAGCGCACGTGCTTCCAGAGTTCTGTGTGGTGAGGGGTGCAGTTTGTGGTCAAGGAACAGAAGGAAATTGTTACGTCCCCTTGGAAGAGCTGAAGCCTTTATCTCCAGACTTCTTAAAAAGGGCTCTAAGTAGGTGACATCACCAGCTATGTGTCGCTTAGCTCTTGGGTGTCAGGATGTCTTTTCTTTGCCCAAATAAGGAGAGACGGACAGATGTTTCCCAGTAATCATCACAACTGAGAAGAGCGAGGGGGAACTGATACGAGCTTCATTTGTGTGTGTGTGTGTGTGTGTGTGTGTGTGTGTGTGTGTGTGTAGCTGACTCAAATATCCTGACTTCATTCCTGAGCTCAAATGCTTGTACATGTGTGTGCACCCAACACCCTTTTTCCGTAACGTTTTCTTCATATCTGGGGATATCTTAGGTGGGTTCACTGAGAAGCAGGCTCTCTTAGCTGCTATGACAAAAACGTGATGGACTGGGAGGCTTAAACAACAGATGTTTCTTTTCTCAGTTTTGGAGGTTGGAAGTCCAAGATCAACGTGCCTACCGGGCTACAGATGTGTTCTGGTGAGGGCCCACTTCCTGGTTTGCAGATGGCTGCCTTCTTGCTACGTACATTTTCACATGGTGGAGGGCAGAGAGAGGAAACAGTCTCTCTAGGGTCTTCTCTTGTAATCACTAATGCCATCATGAGGGCTCCAACTTCATGACATAATTACCTCGCAGAGTCTCCGTCTCCAAAAGCCAGAGCGCTGTCCCTGGTCTGCCATGGCAGGCTGGTCCGCCCGCCCACTTCTCCCTGTGTGGCGCTGCTGGGCAGCTGGCCGACGCGCTCCTCCGCCGGGCCTGAGCCTCGGGAGGGTTTCAGCATATGAATTGGGGGGGTGCACAATCGTTCAGTCCATAACATAGACCTTGAGACTGAGCTTTGCATGCGGAGAGTTTACTGGGAAATGCCCTGTGAGGAAACAAGAGAGGGAAGCAGGATTGGGCAGAAAGAACAGCTAGATGCTAATGGAGTTGTGACAGAGACCTCAGCTGGGGGCTTTGGAGCTGGGATAGCCCTTCAGAGTGTCCTGAGTTAAGGCAAGGCATCGACCACCACGCTGACCTGTCACTGGGGTGCAGGCTGCTGCTTGGAAGGCGTCTAGCCTTGGGCAAGGCGGCTCCCTTTGGCTAAGGACAATGACCAGGGAGAGTCTCAGCTGTGAGCCTCAGTGCTGCAGAGGGATCTGGTGGCGAATCACAGCATCCACTACAGGGGGGCAGCGAGAGTCTCAGAACACCTCCATTCTGACAACTGCCCACCACCGTGGGCCCATCTGTGGGTTTCCAACAGCAGGATAGCTTTCTTGATGGTTCTAGGCATTGCATCAGGGGGTCAGGGCTTGTCCACAGGACTTGGTGGTCCTCCTCCAGAATATCATCGACCTCACGTATAAGTGAACGTGGGCCATTTTCCCCCTGCTTTTAGGGAGCTAAAGTTGGTCACTTTGGAGTGGCACTCTCCAATAGAAATAGGAGCCATAGACTAAAAATTTTTAATATTCACTTTTTAAAAACTGAAAAGAAACAGGCGACGTTAACCTTAATAATGTAGTTTAACCTAAAATAATCAAAATTTTATTTCAATATATAATCTATTTAAAAAATTTTTAATACATTATTTTAAAATTTTTGGTACTAGGTCTTTGGAGTCCAGTGTAAGTTACAGTCTCCATCTGGACCAGCTACATGTCAAGTGCTCAGTAGGCGTGTGGCTCATGACTCCTGTATTAGATGGCTTAGAAAGCAATTTCTTTCTGCTATGAATTCCACTGCCCCCCCCCCGCATCGATTAATAAAATGAAAGTTTTTTTGGAGGGAGTTTAGGAAGCCAGTAATTCAAATTCATCACCATTAATATTAAAAAATATGTGTAAAGTACAGGGCTGGATCTGTTTTGTGTGTGTAGCACTAAGAAGGCTATAGTTTCCTTCTAGAGGCCTCTAAGCTTCTGTTACAGTGTTTACTATTTAAACTTCTAAATCTACACAGTCCATTTTCAGGGTCTTCTGGACTCTGGGCCAACTTTCAAGAAATGATATAGTTTATGATGAACTGCAAACAACAACAATAACAGCAACAAACCAACAGCAACCTGAACCTAATAATGTGAGCATCAATACCTTAAAAAGTCCCAAGATACTGGGATATTAGGCCATAAAAGTAGAAGATACTCTTCTCTCTTCCGTGGGTGATGATACCTTTACTTTCCCAAAGTAGAAAGTTGATGATTTTCTCTGTTGCAAATGAGGACAAGAATTTCTGTGAGTAGAAATTTTACTTTTAAGAATGTTTGGGGGTAAAACTTTTTAATTAATTGGATTATATTTTCACCCCAAAGACAATGCTATCAGAAGTGAGTTAGATCTACCTTTCTTTGACTTTGGCAAACCCCAGGATGGATTTTCCAGCTACAAGCACTTTTTGCTCTCATTTACATAAAGCAGATTGCTTTCTTACCCTGCCCTGCTCTGGGTGTGCTTGTGTTCCTTTTGTTCGTTCACATCTCTGTTTTTCTCCTCTTCCTGGTGATTTGGTACCTGCCAGCTTTTGGAAAGTTCTCCGAAAGGTGGGTGCTGGCGAGGCTGCCCTTGGACTTTCTGCCCTGTGTCTCCTCTGGGCAGGAAGCCTACGGAAACCCTCTCTGTGAGGTCAGAACATCATCGCTTCCTTTCAGATCCCTTTTTGATCCAAAGTGGGTTCCTCCTTCCCCTGGCTCGTCTCACCCCAGAAATCAACATGGCAGATTACTTAGAATTTATCTGACTCCTCAGTTACAAGCTTCGGCAAGATTTGGGCGCACGTGGTGATGCTGGTTTCCGTTAGATCTCTTTAAATAGCTTTGCCTTGCTTCCTTCAGAGCAGGGCTAACTGATAGAAGCGCGATGTGAGCCATATACTAAACTTTTAATTTTCCAGTAATTGCATTTTTAAAAAAAAGTGAGGGCTTCCCTGGTGGCGCAGTGGTTGGGAGTCCGCCTGCCGATGCAGGGGACGCAGGTTCGTGCCCCAGTCTGGGAAGATCCCACATGCCGCGGAGCGGCTGGGCCCGTGAGCCATGGCCGCTGGGCCTGCGCGTCCGGAGCCTGTGCTCCGCAACGGGAGAGGCCACAGCAGTGAGAGGCCCGCGTACCGCAAAAAAAAAAAAAAAAAGTGAAAAGAAACAGGTGACATTATATTTAATACTGTATTTTATTTAACCCTGTATATCCAAAATAACCTCATTTCAGTGTCTCATCAACACAAAAAATTATTGAGATATTTTACATTCTTGATTTTCATACTAAGTCTTCAGTACCTGGTGGGCATTTTACACTTAGAACACATCTGAATTTGAGTGCTAAGTTTTCATCGGAAATATTTGGTCGGTATTTAGAGTTCAAAAAATTTACAGTAGAAAATGTGGATTCCCATATCCAAGTTGTTGCAAACACACGTAAAAGTTTTTCAGTAACTAGATTGAGTACCTTCCAAAATCAGTTTTCTTTATTTATCCGTATTAATAAAACTGGTTTATCAGTGAAGAATGAATTGACTTTGAAGCAAAGTGAACAGTAGTCCTACTAAATAACATTGTGTTTAATGAAAAAAGACGTTATATTACTTTCATTTTAAAATAGAAACTTAAGAGTAATTAAAATTGTGTCAAATTAAAAATTCATTTTCTCGATCACAGTAGCCGCAATTCAGATGCTCAATTCAGGCACATGTTGCTATCTTAGGATATTTTAAAGCCCTGTTGAATTGAAAAGAACAAAATGTAAACAGAACTTTATAGTGTTTTTTTTCCACAGTATCTCTCCGTTTGGTTATTTTCAAGTGTTTCGTTTTAAACGTGTGTATGTGTGTCTTCTTTAACTACCTTTCTGACTCTTTATCTGGGATTATAACTGCTGTTTTTCTACCTTTTAATTGCAGTGGATTTTTCCTGTCTTTCCGATATCGCTTTTCATCTCACCCTCCATCCAGCTTTTTTACTTCCCCTCTCTCCTTCTTTCATATCTGACTTTCTTTATGAACTAGTCACACAGTGTATTTTTTAAATTAATTAATTAATTTATTTTTGTGGTACGCGGGCCTCTCACTGCTGTGGCCTCTCCCGTTGCGGAGCACAGGCTCCGGATGCACAGGCTCAGTGGCCATGGCCCACGGGCCCAGCCGCTCCGCGGCATGCGGGATCCTCCCGGACCGGGGCACGAACCCGTGTCCCCTGCACTGGCAGGCGGACTCTCAACCACTGTGCCACCAGGGAAGCCCACAGTGTATTTTTTTTTTTAAAAAAAAGATTTTGTTTTTAGAGGAAGCTGTAGGGTCACAGCAACACCGAGTGGAATGTACAGAGATTTCCCACGTACCTCATCCCCTGCCCCGCATGCACAGCCTCCCCCATCATCCACATCCCCCACCAGAGCAGTGTACCTGTTACACTCCATCAACCTACACTGACACCTCGTCATCACCCGAAGTCCATAGTTTACCTTAAGGTTCGCTCTTGGTGGTGTACATTCTGTGGGTTGGGGAAATGTCTCATGACATGTATCCATCACTGCAGTATCATACAGTATGATATTTCACTGCCCTAAAAATCCTCCGTGTTCCACCTTCTTAAAAAATTATTTTTTTGTATTGAATAATTTTGAATTCTCAGTAGTTTAAAAAAAAAGACAGTTTAGATTTTTCCCTTACTCTAAAATAAAATTTAAGCAGACCTGGAACCCTTGATTGATTTCCTTTCCTTGAGGGTCATTGACTAACAAAGGGGGAAAATACCCCTGCTACTAAATCCGTCTGAGGTCAGCTAGGCACTCTGTGTTGGGTTTTGCAGAGAGGGCTGCTGGGATAGTCACTTGCTTTTTCGGTCTGACCCCAACCATTAGCTTCTGTTTTGAGATGAAAAAGAGCACAGAAGGCTCTCAGCTCTCCTATCCTTGCAAGGGGCGAAGGGAGGTCAGCTCTGCATTGTGGGGTTATGGTCGCCATGGGAAGTGATAAACAGCATCTTAGCCAAGGATGTGAGATGCTTATGAAGCTGAGGGAAAGGTCAGCTGGGACTGGGTGTTGTCATCGGACAAGACCTGGGGGGAGAGGGGACTGAGGCAGGGCCCTCAGGTTAACTAGGGCCAGTAGATGTGCGACCTTGAGTAAGTCACTCTCCTCCTCCGACCTCAGCTTCCTTCCTCATTGTCGGATTCAGCTGCCTCTGTGTGGTTCTTCCACTGTATTAGCCTGTGAGTCCAGATCCACGTTTTTAGAACACACTCATTCCTACTGCCAGGCAGGCGCCCAGTTACAGAACTGAGAAGAGGTTAAATCAAGCAGTTACATTATTAAAGGCAACGGGGAGAAGGAAGAAAATAGTAGCTAATGTATTTCCATGTTCCATTTTCACTCCCCAAATAAGTCAAGTCTGCATGAGTTGTTTTTGCTTGACCCCTTAAGACCCAAACATGTATCCACCATGCACGCACATCCTCCAGATGCCTGGCCCAGATGTGGCCTGGCACTCTGAGCTTTCCTCTACAACTGGCAGAAGAGGCAAACTGGGGCCTCTTGGGATGTGGATGTCTTGGGAGCATTTCACATAGTTCAGTCTTACTCAGTTTGCCAAGTGTTTATTGAGTATCTACTTATCTTTTTTTTAAAATTAATTTATTTTTGGCTGCTTTGGGTCTTCGTTACTACGCATGGGCTTTCTCTAGTTGCTGTGAGCGGGGGCTACTCTTCGTTGCGGTGCGCGGGCTTATCATCGCGATGGCTTCTCTTGTTGCGGAGCGTGGGCTCTAGGCGCGCGGGCTTCAGTAGTTGTGGCATGCGGGCTCAGTAGTTGTGGTGCATGGGCTTACCTGCTCCGCGGCATGTGGGATCTTCCCTGACCAGGGCTTGAACCCGTGTCCCCTGCATTGGCAGGCGGATTCTTAACCACTGCGCCACCAGGGAAGTCCTACTTAATTATCTTTAAACCTATATTTCTAGGCTCATATTTTGTGCCAGTCCCTGAAATAAGCATTTTATAAAGATCAGCTCATTCACTTATGTGTGAAGATAGGCAGATCCTTTAAAATAAATTCACCAACACAGTTCCTATCATCCAGAAGCTCATAGAATACTTTGAGGTGTATAATATGTCTGCAGGAAACAGTTAAGAGTCCAAGGCATTGTTTTATTAAGTGCATAGGAGATAGTAAGGGCTTCAGACATTCACGGAAGGGAGAGATCAGTTAGGACTAGAATTGAGTCATGACGATAGTTCTCCGGGGATATGTGGGGGGGAAGGAAGATAGTTTTTTGAGTAGGAATAATATGGGTTACAGTTTTAGTTATGGTTGACTGGTAGGTATATGAGAAATAAAAGACACACAGGTAAGTCATTGTTCAATGAACAGATGAATGGCTCAGGCTTCAGGTAGGGTGACCGAACCTAGTTAAGCTGTTGAAGGAGAATAGTTTGTGATGACGACGTGTCCAGTTGGAGATGCTTGTGGACACCTGAACTGGAGTGTAGATAAGAAACCGAGGGAGGAATACAGATTGAGAGTCATGGAGTAGAGGTGATCGTGAAGTCATAAGTAGGATGTGTTTCCTAAATGAAGGAGAGTGAAGGCCAGAGTCGCGTGAAGTGCACAGGGCTTGCACTTGGGGGAAGAAGGGGTCAGAAAAGGGCACAGAGAAGGGGTGACCAGAGACATGGGAGGAAAGCAAAGAAGTGTCACATCGAGGGGTCAAGGAGTGAGGAGGTTTCCTGGTGTGACTGCCACCTGTGCCTCTTGATAGCGGGAGGGACAGCAGAACCCTGGACAGGCCAGAGGCAGAACCCAGGGTTCTTCTGGATGAGGACGAAGAAAGGACTTAGTGGAAAGAGGTTTGTTCATTTCACGCTCATAGATAATTTTGCTCAGAGGCCTGGATGTTACTATAGGACGATTGCCAGGGTTGAGTCTTCTTTCGAGTACACTTTATAAAATGGAAAAACACAACAAAAAAATCTGAGAGCCTGTTGAGTTTACAGCACAGAGAGGAATCATTGAGGTCTCAGAACTGTTTTCCTTCCCTGCTGAGAATCCTCTTCTGCAAACTTTCTTGTTTCTGCAAATAATGCACATATGTTTTCACTTGTCCCCCAGCTCAGATGCAGCCCCACTGCACTCATAAGCCAGCTGCCCTGACAGAGCTCCATATTATTTGGGAATGTCTGTAGATTTTCAACTGAAATAGAGGCAGGAGAGTCAGCATGCTATGAGCAGATCTGCTTCCAAACCTAATCCCAAATCCACATTCTTTTCGTTGTGTAAGTTGTCCAATGGATTTCCTTATGGCGCATAATGTTGTTGTGAGGAATCAGATGTAAATCCACTTCCGTTATGTAAACAAGCACTATTTGGATCTCATTCCAGAACCACCATCAGACTGGAAAAGGGTTAGGAGGTAAGGATGGAAATAGAAGAATTGGGGAAATGTTTTGTTTTGTTTTGTTTTCTGAATTCTGATTAAACCTGTAACTTCTGGAGATTTCTACACACTCAACAAGAGCCCGTCTGGCTTTGGTTTAGCACAGCCTACGTTTTGTTCAAACTTGTTTCTGAAGGGGTTCATTCTGACTAAGAATCAGATTCTTCCAGGTCCTAGACATCAACGGAAGAACGGCAGCAACTTCTGTACGTTTTTGTTGATGTTCATTTCAATGGAGCCGTGCTTATTTTAGTTCAAATCAAATCATAGCATCAAATGTTTATTATTCCCTGAGTAAAATGGAATTGAAAAGTACTTACAGGTGAGTGGCCCCTTGCCCTACATTGATGCAAGTGGCATTTTTTTCCTTCATGATTTCAGCAAGTATCTATCAGGTCCAGTTTATCAGGCAAGGGGATTTTGAGACTACAAAAGGCTGTTTGGAGTGGTATCTATTCTTCAGGAGCTTACAGCCTACGTGGAGAGACAAGAATAACTCAAATAAAAGGATTTTAAAATAATCTGGCTAAATATATAAAGTATTTTATAGTATAGCCTGTGTGCTTAGGAATTCAAAGGAAGTTAAGTAGTATTAAGTGATGCAGTAACCAGAGACGGCTGCTTGGAGGAGGTCGAGTCATGAACTGGATGGACCATATTGGATGGTAGAGTTAAAACTGGAAGAAATATTGAAGCTGGAAAACAGCCTAAACATATACAAAGGTACAGAGGCTTGGTGGAGGTGGAGAATTTGTGTTGCAGAGGATGAAATTGGGTAAACTAATTGGGGTTAGGTTATAGAAAGTCCTAAGTGCCGGACTTACCAATGCTGTGTTCCAGAAGGACATGGAACCTGTGCAGGTTTCCAGTAGGAGAGTGACGGCATAGAGAGAATGTCCAGTCACCTCTAGCACTCTTTCCTCCATTACCAAGCATTATTTCTTTAGAGCACTTTTCACTCTCTGCAATCAGTATGTATCTGTTTACTTCTTATAGCTCTTCTACTCCACTAGGATGTGAGTGCCTTGAAGTCAGGGACCTTGTCTGTTAGACTCACTGCATGACCCTTCCTAGCATGAGGAAGAATGCATGGTTGAGTAGTGTCTCTCTTTGTCACCATGTCTCTGTCCGTGTCTGTATATATAGCTCTATCTCTGCCCCTGTCTCTACTTTCACTCTCTCTGGAGAAATGTATACTCACAAAGTATTGTGTACAATTTTAAGCTGCTCCCATCACCCCAGACCCATGAAGGACCCTGCAACCAAGTTAGGATCACACATTCTGTTCAAGGAGTTTGAGTTCAGCCACCTCTCCATGGCGTCTCCCTCTGTCACCAGGGGAGGGGTTTTTCTTTGGGTCTCTTATTCTTTTTGCCAGTGGGGAAAGGGAAAGAGGGTGAGCAACATGCTTTCTTCATCTCTGTACCTCCAGTGGAGGATGTAGTGGAAGAGGGAATGAGAGAGGATTTCTGGCAGCTTCTTCAACAGGTGGGAGCGGTTAGTACCAAGATGTCTCCAGTGTCTGATTGGAGGTCTGATGTCTCCAGGCCAGGTGAAATATAGGAGGCCGGGTTAAATTTGAATTTCAGATAAACAATGAATAATTTTTTTAGTGCAAGTATAGACTTCTGTTAAAGCAAGTATAAGTATATAAGCATGTCCCCACTATTTCCTGAGACATACTAAAAAGTTACTCATTATTTATCTGATATTCAGATTTAACTGGGTGTCCTGTTTTTTCCCCCCCGAACTCTAATAATCCTAATTAGGATCTAAGGGCTTTTACAAGGTCCTAAAGGCACCATCACATCTACTTACTCAGTCCTCTGTTAGTACACATACAACCCATCTACGCCTTCCCTTCCTTTCAATTCTATTTCCATAGTCCCCTGCAAATTGTCCCTTAAGTCACAAAGATTTTGTTGTGTGCACGGAGCTGGAATCTCTCCTTATTGGGATTTTCCAACTTTCTGCTGAGATTTCCTGCTGAGATTTCTGGGATGCAGACAGTGAGGGTTGTTTGCTATCAGTGGTTCCCTCTAGAAAAGAGTGGAGAGCTGTTCTAGCTGGGAAGGGTGAAAAT